CTGGACTATGAGGATTTGAACCTTGATCAGAATGGCAGCTTTACGGTATGGGGAAACTGCCCAAATCAAAGCATTCTGAATTTTTAGGGACCTTACTTGATCACGTGATGAACAATTAACTGCTCTAGAGAATCGCTCTAAAAAAATTCGAATGTGAGACACATCTTTGGAGCAGTCCATGCAAACCATGCTGGGAAACTGACTGCTTTAGGAGACACTTGAAAGATTTATTAGTGGAAATATTCTGAGCTACCATATTCCTGCTTTTTCTGCCTATTTAATTTTTCATTCACCTAGGTCATGCTGTCTTTCATGATGAGATCAGAACTTCTGAACTCAGGCAGAGGCAGGAGCATGACCCAAGCAGCCCTAGGGGGATGTTTCTGAATCTCACCCTCAGGAAGGCAATTTGGAAACAGTAGCAACAAAAGTAACAACAAAATCCTATTGTTTCATAATAGTAAAGTGTCAGTGCAAATGAAATTGTCCTAAAACACAATGCATGAGCACAGAATTGTCTGCCCCTTGCCTGTAGGTGGAAGATGTTATTGTGTTGTCAGAAAATAAATACCAGATCCATGAATGGATAGTAATCGCCCTGTAACATCAGTGGTGCCGAACCGCACAGGCTTAATTGATATTTTCAAGGTGGCCAGTGGACAGGGAGTTTGAGAGGCCACTTAAGCCAGAAACTCACTGTCAGATATTGTGACATTAAACAAGGTAGAAGATATATTTTTTAAAGATTTTATTTATTTATTTGACAGAGAGATACACAGCGAGAGAGGGAACACAAGCAGGGGGAGTGGGAGAGGGAGAAGCAGGCCTCCCACGGAGCAGGGAGCCTGATGTGGGGCTTGATCCCAGGACCCTGGGGTTATGACCTGAGCTGAAGGCAGACGCTTAACGTCTGAGCCACCCAGGCGCCCCAAGGTAGAAAATATTCTTAATCCTCTCAGTTCCAGGTTTCAGTAATTTTGTCACCTTAAGAAATTGTTAATGTAGCAGATCAATTTTACCACCAGTTTCGAGGCTGCTGGAGAAAAATGACAAAACCGCTGAAATGAGTTTTCTGCTGGGCCTTCAGTTTCATCTAAAAGTCCTGCTGCATGTTTCCAGTTCTTACCTTTCCTAATCCCACATCTGGACCATTTCCCTCTCTGGCATCTTAACCACAACCTAGGTCCCTGGCTGCCGCAGCAGAAACCTGAGGTCATCCTCAAGTCTTCTCTGTCCCTACCCTGTCTGTCTCATAAGCCAGTAAGTACCATGGATTGCACTTCTTAAGGGTCTATCCCATCTGTCCCCTAGCTCAGGCTCAGTCACGTTGCCTGACTGTGTAGTCTCTTAACTGGTCCCACTGTCTTTTAATCTGTCCTGATCATTGTCACCCAGGGGCACAGGTCTAATCGGGTGCCCCCTCTAGGGAAACACCTCATTGGTTGCCATCGTCTAGAAGAGAAAATTAAAAGTCTTAGTCTTGCAGACTAAGCCCCTCTGTAATCTGCCATCTTCCTCCCACACCAGCCTCGTCTACCCCAGCTCTCCTTCTTGCACCTTATGCCTCAGGACCACCACACTCACGGTCCATAGATTCGGCCCCCCTTTCCACAGCCCCTTGCATTGAGTTTGGCATTCGGTCTCCAGTATGTCAACTTCAGTTGGAGACTGAAGTGAATAGACTTTCTTCTCTGCCTACTCTTCATGGTGATTTGTGTTCTTCTGTAGGGTAAATGTAAAACTTGATACATTTATTATGGATTCAAGAATTAGAAGATATCTGAAATTAGAATTCGAATTTGTACTAGAAGATATTTATTTTGCTCACCTGTTGGATGAATAAATCTCTTGTCTGGCACCTCTAACTACTGGTTAAGCTCAGATAATGGCCAGGACAGTGAGCTCATTACCTCTACCAACAAACTATTTATTTTCCAGAAAACTTTGATAAATTTGTGCAAAATTTTTTATATATAGCTTTTATCTCCCAATGTTAGTTCTTGATCTTGGTTTCTGAATGAACAAGTCTGATCCTTCTTTATTGTGATGACCCTTCAGATCTTTGAAGACAACTGCACTCTCTTCCTTTTTTTTTTTTTTTTTTGTCCCTGGTAATATCCCCAATTATATCAAATTTTCCTCTCACCTCAGGTAATCAATTCTCTCTGCTTTTCTGGGGACTCCTTTTAGCTGGCTCCAGCTTGTCTGTGAATTTCTGTGCTCACCACCTTGTCCACGGCAGAGAAACCTTCAGTCCTGCTCTCCCAGTTGCTCTCATGTGGCCTGAGGAGCTTTCCAGCAACATCACTTTGTCGACTTGTATTAAGTATCCGTGAAAAGTCATCCCTTATTTCTCCCAAAGGGTGGAAGCCACATAGTCCTAGCATCTGTTGTGTTGCATATTGGTTGAAAGTTGATATAAATTCAGTACTTGTACAAATACATTTTTTTAAGATTTATTTATTTATTTGTCAAAGAGAGAGAGTACAAGCAGTGGGAGCAGCAGGCAGAGGGAGAAGCAGGCTCCCCGCTGAGCAGGGAGCCTGATGCGGGACTTGATCCCAGGACCCTGGGATCATGACCTGAGCCAAAGGCCGACACTTAACCAACTGAGCCACTCAGGCGCCCTTACAATTCTATTTTTGACCTAAATTTTATCCCTGTTGAATATCATCTTGCTAGAAAAGGTCTTTTTGTGAATCTTGATTCTCATTGTGAAATACATCCAATATCCACCCCCCCTTTTTGTCAATGGAAGTTTATACTGTTGATGCAATTAAAATAAGAATGAGCAGGCTCCTGTAAGAATCAGCTGAAATAACAGACAGAATTCCCTAACATAGTGACTGGCATGGAGAAGGTTCTTAGCAAAGGCCAGATCCTTTACGGCCCCTGACCTGTGCCTTTCCCTTCTCTCCTTTGTTGCTGCCATCAAGATGTGGGTGTGCTGTAACTCACAGAGGCCTGGGTCCTTTATGACTTTCCTTAGAAGAGAGAGTGTGGGCTTACAGCATCAGCCAATTATAATTCTATTTCTCTTTGACACTAGGAGCAGTTTTTTGGGTTGTTTTTTCTACTTTAATTATACTGAACAATTTCTAGAAATATGAAAGGCAAGGTGTTGTGATTTAAAATTTAAATAACAGATTTTCAGCAAAGGGTCTGTGAAAAATCCCCATCACAGTGGTAGATATACACCGTTGAAGATCGGTCTTTCTCAGAGTATGGTGGCCTCCAGGAATCTCAGATGAGAACGTAAGAATGACAGTTAGGATGTGTAAATCCCATTTGCTTCCCACAAGAATGGACAGGCTATCTGTGGGGACGGGTACCAGGCCTCAAAAGGGGAATTTTCCAGAGGGTCTCTAGTAAGCCACTTACTCTGTCCTATTTCCTCAGCCGCCATATGGATAGAATAAGAAGCAGCTAGGAGTGTTGTGAGAGTGAAAGACATAACACGTAAATCACTTCCTACGGTTTCAGGTGCATAGTGGAGGCTCCGTAAACATTTTTCTCTTTTCTCCCACTCCTGAGACCACAGTGCCTTTGCACCGCATGGAAAGTGGCAGGGCCGAGGTTGCTTGCTCAGGACAGTTTGACAGCCTTTCTTGGCTTTTGGGAACTGCTGCCATCAGATGAAGTGTTGCCACTTCTGAAAGACTTACCTGCTCTAGAGTAGCCAAACATTTATGAAATAGTAAATGTTAAGAATTAGGGGGGAAGGGTCACATAGTAAATGCTAAGTATCTTCCCCCATTACTCTTAGTGTTTATGTGTGTGGCAAGAGGTCCTTTGGGGAGACCTAGCTTTAAAATGAAAAAATTTTTAAAAGGTAGACGGAATAAAAAAGCAATCAAGCAACTTCTTTCTTAAAGTTATTTTTACTTTGGAACAAAAAATATGGGAGTGGATGGGAGGAGATCTTATAACAAGGCCAAGAATCCTTATGTCATTGAATTTCCTTCTCTAGCAACCGTGGCCTGTATAATTTTGCTTTACCCTCTTGCTCTTATGACAATGGTAACAACAAAAATAGTAGTAACAATATCTTGCATTTGCAAAACACTTTTAAGTTAATCCTGTTGTTACAGTTTTTCAAAAGTTAAAGACAACATTTTCATATAAATAATTTTCAACTCATTAAGGCAGTGTTTATAGAGATTTTTTTTTTTTTAATTCTCAAATGACCTGGTGTTTTAGATACTTGATTGGGACTTTTGAATAGGGAACCCAGTTATGGCTCTCAGGATCCTTCTGCTCTGTCCCCAAATAACTTTCTGCTTGAACTCCTCCTCCCGATACCCAATTCTGTGCTCTAGGAAGACAAAACAACTCCTGTCCAGTCCCACAATATATAATGATTTTTCCAGTCATCTCTGCTGAGGCTGCTTCTTTGGCTGGAATGTAGTCGGCCACATCCCTGTCTGCCAGTGTTTCCGGCACAGTTTGAATAAGCTCCACAGAGCATTCCCTGATTCTTTGGATATTGCTAACATCCAGGCCCTATCCAGGGCCTCTTTGAGGTTTTAGGGAGGTGAAGGGCATATTGGAAGGTGGTGGGGGAGAATTTGCCATGTGTCTGGCTCCAGTAATTCTAATACCATCCCTATAAAGTAGGCTAATTCTTTAGTAGAATAACTTTGGTTCACTGTTTAACAAACAACTATGTGCCTGTTATGCATTCAACATTGTGCCAGATGCTTTGGACGAGAAGACAAGGCAGAGCTTTGGCCTGTAAATCATGTACAGCCTACTGGAAGAAACAGATATGTAAGTCGATAAGTGCAATGTAGCATTACATTGTTCAGCCTGTGAGTGGCAGAACTGTGGTTAAAATCCCAAGTCTGATCAACCCCAAGCCATCAAGCCGAGATGCTTCCAGAGAGAAAAACTAGCTGTGCTGAGTGACATCTCCTCAGAAGAGCAAATCAACAGCCTTGCTCTGCCTGTTATTTGAAGACATTATTAATCACACCATTTTTGTTTTATTTGTAAACTAGGTCCTTCAGAAGCTTGGGAAAGCTGATGAGACAAAAGATGAACAGTTTGAAGAATATGTCCAGAACTTCAAAAGGCAAGAGGTAAGTACGTTTATCTAGTTTCCGGAGAGGGAAACAGGTTGACTGTGTTTGTGTTTTAGTATATAACTAAAATGTGTTAAGGTTGAAGAAAGAACTTTTCTTTGGGGTTGGTGTTAACCTGAAGGTGACACTTGCTAATTCTGAAGGCTTTTTTGGTGGCAGGTGAAGGAAGAGGCAGTAGGGACCACAGGAAGATTTGTGTTTTAGACTCTCAGGAGACTCTCCAGAGATCAAGATTTTGCTTGTCTGGAGCTCTTCAGTACAGATTATTGATCTAAAAGAAAGATGCTGTTTTGGGTGATTTATAGTCTTAGTATAGTATAGTATTAGGGAAACAGGAGTTAGATATTTCTGGCATAATTATTTTAATCACTGCATGCTTCAAGATCATGCATTCTTTTATTTATTTGTTTGCTTGTTTGTTTATTTTAAATTTTATTATGTTATGTTAGTCACCATACATCATTAGTTTTTGATGTGGTGATCCACGATCCATTGTTTTCATATTACACCCAGTGCTCCATGCAGTACGTGCCCTCCTTAATACTCGTCACCAGCTAACCAATCCCCCCTCCCCCCTCCCCTCTAAAACCCTGTTTGTTTCTCAGAGTCCATAGTCTCTCATGGTTCATCTCTCCCTCCGATTTCCGCCCCCTTCATTTTTCCCTTCCTTCTCCTAATGTCGTCCATGCTATTCCTTATGTTCCACAAATAAGTGAAACCATATGATAATTGACTTTCTCTGCTTGACTTATTTCACTTAGCATAATCTCCTCCAGTCCCATCCATGTTGATGTAAAAGTTGGGTAGTCATCCTTTCTGATGGCTGAGTAATATTCCATTATATATATGGACCACATATTCTTTATCCATTCATCTGTTGAAGGGCATCTCAGCTCTTTCCACAGTTTGGCATTCTTAACAGGGGTTATATCTCCCCCAAGAGGGTGAAAATTGGTTCTTTGTGGATAAAAAAAATTGTACTCTTTTTATGTGTATATATCACATAAAAAGATATGTAGTATATCTATGGTATTAAAATTTCATGGGAGTGTGTGATGAGGAAAAAAATGTCTATAAAGTCGCCTTGAGAGGAGTGATAATGAGGAAAAAGGTTGAGAAACATGGTTTGTGATGTTTGTTCCTTTGATGGGCTGCTGTGTGTTCAACAGACACATGCATAAAGAAAGAAACTCTTTTCTAAATTATCTGTTTATATCTCTAAGGCTCGGATAATTGGCCAGAATATCACTCTTTCGAGAGCATGCATGAGGGTCAAGGTGGGGGAAGGTACAAGTGGGGCTCTCTGTGGTTAGAAGCCTCTAATCTGGAGGTCATACTAGAGGTAGAGTAGGAAGAGGGCTGGGGTGGCAGACTCTGGCAAACTGGACATGGGGGTGATGTGAGGGCACAGATTTATTTTCCTGGTGTCTTTGGAGCTGTCAGCATCCACAGGATATTTTGGCCTTGGGGATGAAAATCAGTAATGTCAGATCCTCAGAGGTTTCATTTTGTCCCGTTCCCTCCTGTTTGCAGATCTCAAACCCGGAGATTTCTTTCTTCCATATTTGTGCCAGAGCCCCTACTATTTGTCTCACTGCAGACATGCTATTTCTTTCCTTTGCTGCCACGGGTGATAAAATCCAGCTGGTACAGGGCCAAGTAGCCCAGTCTCCACCAGAACACATTCCTGAATACCTCCCATTTCATCCCAAGACTAGGAGTGGACATGTGCAGATAGGTGCTCAATTTACACTATGAGTGGTAGCCATCTTGTTCTGTCTGAAAACGAGGAAGGAGAAAAGAGAGTTGGAGAAAAAAACAGTGACAGTGAAATTGATCATGTCCAGGTAACAGTGTAATGGAGAGCTTTGGATTAATGAAGGTAGAAGAGAGAATTTCTAGAGAAATGTCAGCTCCAGGCCCATAGACAGTGTTGTCCTCCAGTCTCCTCCAGGAGGAAAGATTCTCATTCCGTGAGTTCTCGTACATTCTCTCATGCATTTGGGTAACTCTCACACACATCACTGGATTGCAGCAACTTCGCACAGGAAAACTTGTCAGCCTCTGCCCTGTTACTTTGCAGGGTGAGCCCAAATACCTGCTTTAAGACACTGGAGTTACACAGAAGGGATTCATGTGTATAATTTTACCTGCTTGAGGATTTACACTCTACCCTTTGAAACCTCGTCTTCCTGTCTGGTGTGTCCCGTGGAGCTAATTAGGTCTTCACTCTTGGATTTTTTTCCTGTGTCACTTTTATGGCATTTTGATGTTAGCACTCCAGAAGGCTAACCTTGGGAAGCATCAAGTTCAGAAAAGCATTCATGACTAGGAAGCACTTTGCATTTTCCAATTATAGTGAATTTGTATGGGTCTTTTTTTGGGGGGGGGGCATTGTTGACTGAACCAGGTGAGAATTGTTTTTTGTCTAAGCACTAAAGAAAAGTACGATTGGTTAAATCACCAACTTCATCAGTTAAATGACCTGTACCACCAGCAGCAGCAATGTGGGGTGATTTTATAATGCCGCTGGGCCATTCTAGACACATTTTCAAATGTTGTAGAGCAAATGGTATACTAACATTCTTGAAGACCCAACACCTTGGTCCTTATCAAGAATATTATCAGATTTTGGGGCACATGGGTGGCTCATTGGTTAAGCATCTGCCTTCGGCTCAGGTCATGATCCCAGAGTCCTGGGATCGAGCCCCGCATCGGGCTCCCTGCTCGGTGGAAAGCCGGCTTCTCCCTCTCCCACTCCCCCTGCTTGTGTTCCCTCTCTTGCTGTGTCTCTCTCTGTCAAATAAATAAATAAAATCTTTAAAAAAGTATTACCAGATTTCAAGAACTGTGTAAAACTTCAAAATCTAGACACATTTTCAAATGTTATAGAGCAAATGGTATACTATCATTCTTGAAGGCCCAACACCTTGTTCCTTATCAAGAATATTATCAGATTTCAAGAACTGGGTAAAACTTCAAAATCTGGGGAAGTTAGAACAAGCATTTCTACTTTATAAGAGTGAAACAAGCAGAATGGAAATGTAGAAATAGTATTTCTCAAAGAGTGTCTTGACCCCCTCCCCCTTTGGCTGCCTTTGAAACATTTTTGCACCAAAAACATCTTGCATTTGCACATACTCATTCTGATGTATTTGTTTGTTTCTTTTAATCAGAAAAAATAAATGTATAGTCATTTTAGTGCATTAAGGAGGGATGGTACTTTAACTCTGTATAGTAGAGGGACAGAAGGAGAAAAAGAATGGATGGGAGGGAGGGAGGAGAGAGATTTATCAATTTTCTGTAGAAACATATTAATGGTTGACAAGAATAGCCAAAGGCAGAATGTATTTATTATACTCTGCAGGGGGTAAGATATCCTCTTAATCCTCAGTATGTATTGGTAACCAATTCACATCTGTTGCATATGCTGAGAAAGGTGTTTCTACATACGCTTGTATAGAAACATTAAGCTAGAAAGAAGGATCTACTAAGATTGTGGTGACCTCTACAAGGCCTGTTACTTTTAGTGTTAATGCAATGGTGAATTGTTGCCCTAAAGGCAGAAGGCATCATCTAAAGGTGATAGACTCTAAAGATATTATCTGACCCAGGAAATCTAGATTTCATATTTTTTTCTGTGTTGATGTATTTTTCAAATCCAAAAAGATACTACTTAGAGTATCAAATGAACTATATTTGGATTTGGATTTGTACATTATATTATAGTCACCTGATCGTGCTCAATTAGTACTTAATCCAAAGTGGATTGTTCTAGAATGTTCTAGGAAGTATACAAGTATCTTGGGCCCTGGTGATCTTGCTTTTAAATTCCCTTTAGTAAAATCATGAAAGTCCTCACAGTGATTGATGGAAACAAAAGTGGCAGCATGGTCTGTGTTTGAACTACAATTTGAAGCTTAGCTTTTATCTTATTCCAAACCCAGGTTTTCTTTTTGATCCCAAACCTCTTCTCCTAAAAGGTGGTTTTTGTTAGACTGAGAGTGTGGATGGAGGGTCTGTGCATACTCTCTCGGTTGTCCATTGGGCTCCCCATTGCTGTAGTTTTTGTGGTCCAGATTTCATAAACCACTCAACTGGGACAAGGATGAAGGGGAGCATAGGGTAGAGCAAAAAGAAATAGAATGAGCTCCTCTGCCGAAAACTCGGGATTTTCCATGATGAGGAGTGCCAAAGAGAGCAAGGATTATAGAAATCCATCCAGCAGGAAAAACAAACTGACTTCAACATGTCCTCCCCCAAAGTGTTGTATTTTTTCCCCGTTTAATTTTGCCTGTCTTATCAAAGCCGCTAACAAGTAGCAGAATTGATGGTGTGAATATCGCCTACTTTCACCTGGTAGCCTGCTGACGAATCTGTTAATGAGCAGAGAAGAGGTCCCAGAGGGGAAAGAAGGTCCCTGGGCTCTTCCTCCTTCTTGCTAATAAACCTGCCCACTAAGATGCCATGCTTACGGCAGCTGTGCCAATTACGATGACTGAATAGCCTACGGCAGTTTGGGCCCAGATAACTAGCTATTCGGTCACATTTCAGTGCGTACAGCTGTGAGTACCCAAATGGACTTAGAGTCCAGGAGCGATACTTGGAATAAAGGGGAGGCGTGTCTCACCTCTCAGGGCTGTGTAGCTTTCCGTTCCTTTTTAAATACCGTAGCACTGCTGTTCTGCTGCCTCCCTCCGTGCCCCCACCAGCTAGGAACAGCTTCACTTCGCTGCAATACAAACAAAGAAGAAGGGAAATGCTTGGGCCTTGAAATCCTCTCTGGTGGTGAGAATTTGGAGCCAGTTACTCCAATTATTAGGAATCTCCAGTGACTGAAAGCTGGAGTCCTGTCTTCTCCTTACCGATCTCTCCTCAGCACAGGGATCCCGTGTATCTGTTTTCATCTTTCTATGCCACAGGATCTACTGCTTTGTACATAAGCTTTAAGAATATTTGTCAGGGCGGAGCAAGATGGCAGAGGAGTAGGAGACCTG